CTCAGCATTTATGCAGAGATAACTTTGCCATGAAATATCTTGCTTTTATTATTAATTCTACATTGCTCTAGTATACTGACTTTGGAAACAAAAGACATCATTCTATTAACAGCATTCTGTTTTCAGTGGTGGTATTTCCACTTACAAAATAACAGTAATTCTTTTCTTTTTTTTTTTTTTTTTGAGACGGAGTTTCACTCTTGTTACCCAGGCTGGAGTGCAATGGTGCGATCTCTGCTCACCACAACCTCCGCCTCCTGGGTTCAGGCAATTCTCCTGCCTCAGCCTCCTGAGTAGCTGGGATTACAGGCAAGCACCACCATGCCCAGCTAATTTTTTGTATTTTTAGTAGAGATGGAGTTTCACCATGTTGACCAGGATGGTCTCGATCTCGTGATCCACCCGCCTCGGCCGCCCAAAGTGCTGGGATTATAGGCTTGAGCCACCGCGCCCGGCCATAACAGTAATTCTTGATCACTAAAAATGTCAAATCCTGGAAAACGTAGCATTCCTACACATGATATTAACATCATTCTTCAACAGTTGGCAGAAGACTTATTTGATGAATCTGATTTTTCCAAAATAGATGATTCTGATGATTCCAATGACTTAGATGTTAGTTTCTGTTTAGAAACAACTAGAAGAACAGTTTTTATATTTTATTTTCACATTGGAAATCAGTCAGATTTGTTTCAGCCTCAAAGAGCATGCTTATGTAAAATTAAATGAGTTCTAGCAACAAGCTGCATTTTTTTTCTACACAGAAAAGGAGTTTAAATAAAAGAAAAATATAATAGGGATAATATTGGTACCTATCACATAGAGTTCTCATGAGGGATAAATTATTTCCCCACCCCCGCCAATCCATGATAAATTCTTAAAATGGTAACTGACATCATGGCAAAAGTTATATACAGGCATACCTCATTTTATTGTGCTTCACTTTATTATGCTCCATAGATACTGCATTTTTTACACATTGAAGCTTTGTAGTAACCCTGCATGGAGTGAGTCTATTAGCACAGTATTTCCAACAGCATGTGTCTGCTTCGTGTCTCTATGTCACATTTTGGTATTCCTTGTAATATTTCAGACTTTTTCATTATTATTATATCTGTTACAGTGATCCATGATCAGCAATCTTTGATGTACTATTGTAATTGTTTGGGGACACAACAAACTTTGCCTATATAAAAAGACAAACTTAATCAGTAAATGTTGTGTGCTCTGACTGTTCCTCCTATCTACTGTTCTCCTGTCTCTCTCCCTCTCCTCAGGCCTCCATACTCCTTGAGACAATATTGAAACTAAGCCAATTAACACCTTACAATGACTTCTAAGTGTTCAAGTGACAAAAAAGAGTCCCACATCTCTCACTTTAAATCAAAAGGTAGAAATGATTAAGCTTAGTGAGAAAGGAATGCTGAAAGCTGAGACAAACCAAAACCTAGACCCCTTGCATCAAGCAGTTAGCCAATTCGTAAATACGAAGGAAAAGTTTGTTGGTTTTTTTTTTTTTTTTTTTTTTTTTTTTGAGATAGGGTCTCAGTCTGTTGCCCAGGATGGAGTGCAGTGTCCCAATCTTGGCTCACTGCACCCTCCGTCTCCTGGGCTCAGGTGATCCTCCCACCCCAGCCTCCTAAGTAGCTGGCACCACAGGCCCACGCCACCACACCTGGCTAATTTTTGTAGTTTTTGTAGAGATAAGATCTCGCTATGTTGCCAGGCTGGTCTCAAACTCCTGGACTCAGGCAATCCTCCCACCTTGGCCTCCCAAAGTGCTGGGATTACCAGTGTGAGCCACTGTACTCGTCCTTAAATTTGAGACAGGGTGTTACTCTGTCACCCAGGTGGGAGTGTAGTGGTATGATCTTGGCTCACTGCAACCTCTGCCTGTCTGGCTCAAGGGATCCTCCACCTCAGCCTCCTGAGTAGCTGGGGCCACAGATGCATGCCATCACACTCCACTAATTTTTCTGGGGTTTTTTGTTTGGTTGGTTTGGTTTGGTTTGGTGACTGACTTTGGAAATAAAAGACATCATTCTATTAACAGCATTCTGTTTTCAGTCATGATATTTCCACTTACATAATACAGTAATTCTCGATCACTAAAAATGTCAAATCCGAGAAAACGCAGCATTCCTACACATGATGTTAACATCATTCTTGAGCAGTTGTTGGCCAAAGATTCATTTGATGAATCCAATTTTTCCAAATCCATCAGAATGAATGGAATCCAATCCATCCATTCTGATGATTCCAGTGACTTTGATGTTAATTCTGTTTAGAAATAACTCCAAGAACAGTTTTTATTTTGTTTCCACATTGGAAATTAGATTTCTTTTCAAATTGTTGTCAATTGACAGCGTTTTGCCACGTTGCCCAAGCTGGTCTTGAACTCCTGAATAAAAGCGATCTGCTCACCTTGGCCTCCCAAAGTACTAGGATTAAAGGTATGAACTATCAGGCCTGGCCTGGAAAAGTTGCTTCCTGAAAAAGTTCTGAAGAAAATTAAAAGTGCTACTTCAGGGAACACATAAATGATAAGAAGGTAAAACAGCCTTATTGCTGATACGGAGAAATTTGTAGTGGTCTGACAGAGATCAAACCAGCCATAACTTCCCTAAGCCAAAGGCTCATCTACAGCAAGGCCCTTACTCTCTTTAATTATATGAAAGCTAAGACAACTGAGAAAGCTGCAGAAGTTTGAAGTCAGCAGAAGTTGGTTCATGAGGTTTAAGGAGAGAAGTCATCTGCATAAGACAAAAGTGCAAGGCAAGGCTGGACACATTGGCTCACGCCAGTAATTCCAACACTTTGGGAGGCCGAGGCGGGTGAATCCCTTGAGGCCAGGAGTTTGAGACCAGCCTGGCCAACAGAGTAAAACCCTGTCTCTACTAAAACTACAAAAATTAGCTCGGCGTGGCAGTGCACACCTGTAATCCTAGCTACTTGTGAGGCTGAGGCCTGAAAATTGCTCGAGCCTAGGTAACTGAGGTTGCAGTGAGCCATGATTGCACCACTGCATTCCAGCCTGGGCAATAGAGTGGGCAAAAAAATAAATAAAATAAAATAAAACTGCCAGGCGCGGTGGCTCAAACCTGTAATTCCAGCACTTTGGGAGGCCGAGGCGAGTGGATCACGAGGTCGAGAGATCGAGACCATCCTGGTAAACATGGTGAAACCCCATCTCTACTAAAAATACAAAAAACTAGCTGGGCGTGGTGGCGCATGCCTGTAATCCCAGCTACTTAGGAGGCTAAGGCAGGAGAATTGCCTGAACCCAGGAGGTGGAGGTTGCAGTGAGCCGAGATCGCGCCATTGCACTCCAGCCTGGGTAACAAGAGCGAAACTCTGTCTCAAAAAAATAAAAATAAAAATAAATAAAAAATGAATAAATAAATAAAACTATGGTTTTCAAGTGACATGTTATTCATGTGACTATCAGACTGACCACTCTAGCCCACAATTACCATAGGTATCATTCATTACACAGTAAGAGTGAGTGGCAGATTGGCACATCAATAGCAAATGGGTTCCCTTCATACTTATAAAGCCCTCCATGATGCTGCAAGCTTTCTATAATTCATATTTTCGTACACCTGGGTGTTCTATTTAAGAGACTGAATATATGAACAGTGACCAGATCATGTATAAAAACAGAACTCTGACCTACAATCTACAACCTGCTGGGGAAACCAACTCCCTTGTCTATAATAAACAGCACAGGAAGCAAGCCTGCTACAAATCAGACTTGTAGAAAGTCAGACTACTATCTCTCGTGATGATCCTAGAGCCAAACAACAATCCCTGAAGCAATGGGCCCAAAATGCCCTAATATCTTACAGCTTCCTTAATTTTGTCATAGCTTCCAACATAGGTCCAACCAAACACAGCCAAACATGCACCCCTAAACCAATCACATACCACATTCTACTTCTAGTTTGCCCACATACAGTGTCTGCATGCCAACAGCCTCCAATTAAAGAATATCTTGATGGATTCCCTTTTTTCCGGTATAAAGCTTTCCTACTACTCTGCCTGCCTTTGAGTTCCTATCAAATGCAAATGATGGTGACTGACTTGCTTGCTATAGTATGGTCTGAATAAATAGCCTGTGCTTTTCTTATTTGGTTGATATTTGTTTATTTCCACATATTGGAGCTAGTAATCCATGAAATTCCATGAAGAACTAATTTCCAAAACTTTTTCTTTTTTCTAGACACGGTTCCCTCTGCTGGCCAGGCTGGAGTGCAGTCGCACCATCATGGTGTACCACAGCCTTGACCTCTCAGGCCCAAGCCATTGATCCCCCCCAACTTCAGCCTCTGGGGTAGTTGGGACTACAGGCGCAAACAACTACAGCTGGCTAGGGATGTGTGTGTGTGCGTGTGTGTGTGTGTGTGTAGAGACAGATCTCACAATATTGCCCAGACGGGTGTGGCCTCAAGCTATCCTCCTGCCTTGCTGAGGTTACAGGCATGAGCCACTGTGCCAGCCTCCAAAAATTTTTAAAAGATATTGGTGTTATTTCTGAAACATCCAAAAAGCTGATTTAGATTATTAAGATGAAGTAAAAAGGATGCTCCACGCATCTTCATCTTAATAACCTAAATCTTTTTTTTTTTTTTTTTTTTTTGAGGCGGAGTTTCGCTTGTTACCCAGGCTGGAGTGCAATGGCGCGATCTCGGCTCACTGCAACCTCCGCTTCCCGGGTTCAGGCAATTCTCCTGCCTCAGCCTCCTGAGTAGCTGGGATCACAGGCACGCACCACCATGCCCAGCTAATTTTTTGTATTTTTAGTAGAGACGGGGTTTCACCTTGTTGCCAAGGTTGGTCTCGATCTCTCGACCTCGTGATCCACCCGCCTCGGCCTCCCAAAGTGCTGGGATTACAGGCTTGAGCCACCGCGCCCGGCCTAATAACCTAAATCTTAATAACTTAAATCTTAATCTAAAACTTCATCTTAATAACCTAAATCAACATGTTACAGATCTCACATTTCCGGAGAAGATCCTCTTCCTGGAATGCACGCGGCCTTCTACCCACAAGAACGGCGTCCCTATTGCCGGAGCACGCAGGCAGAGCGACAATTGCTGCGGCTCCCGCAGCCCCCGCCCACACCAAGTGAGAACTACAATTCCCGGCGGCCCCCGCAGAAGGCGGGCCGCGGTCCTAAGCGCCTGCGCAGTAGCGGAGCCGCCGGCTGTTCTGTTCCCGCCAATTCTTGTGGTAGCCCTTCCTGGATTGAGTTCCGCGCTTCATGGAGACGTTTGACCCCACCGAGCTGCCCGAGCTGCTTAAACTTTATTACCGGAGGCTGTTTCCCTACTCTCAGTACTATCGCTGGCTCAACTACGGCGGAGGTGATGGAGGCGGGGAATGGGGTCAGGAGCGGATTGTGAGGAGGTTGGAGGCGGGGTGTCCTTAGAATGACAATGTGAAGCGCCGTCAGTGCGCCTGGCTTTGTGCCGCGGGCCTTCTTATGCTCTCTCGAGCCCGCCCCAACACTTCCTAGGTGTAAATGGGCCGAGACGGGATATAATGACCAGCCTGCGGCCGCCCTGTAAACAAACCGAGCCGCCGCTCCTACCTCTGCGTGGTCGGGCTCACATTAGGTACCCCGTTTACTTGCCGCGGTGCCCAGGGGGTTACCGGGTCGTATCTGCAGAGGCCTGGTTTGCATCAGGATCGGAAGAGCCTCTGTCAGAGGAGTAGAAATAGTTTCTTCCTTGCAGCTGAATTTATGAGTGCAAATCGAGGAGAGAGGGGTGGCATTACATATGTAAAATATTTCCGCATCTGCTTCGTCTTTTGTACCTTTCCCTAGCAAATGTGGAATGGTAACTGCTTCCAAATTAGGGACTAGGTCTTGTGGGGTTGTTTGTTTGTTTCTTTGTTTTTACGTCTACCGTGGTGTTAAGCATGGGGGAGCTCATTACAGGTATCTCTGGCCAGGTGCGGTGGCTCAGGCCTGTAATCCGAGCACTTTGGGAAGCCAAGCAGGACGGATTACCTGAGGTCAGGGGGAGACCAGCCTGGCCAACATGGTGAAACGCCGTCGCTACAAAAAATACAGAAATTGTCTGGGCGTGGTGGCACGCGTGCCTGTAGTACCAGCTACTCAGGAGGTTGAGCTGGGAGGATCGCTTGAACCCGGGAGACGGAGGTCGCAGTGAGCATAGATCCCACTACAGTCCAGTTTAGGCGACAAAGCAAGAAGCGAGACTCCCTCTCCAAAAAAAAAAAAAAAAAAAAAACACTTCTCATTGGCTAAAGTTACAATGTCCCGAGCCGAATAAAGTAGCAAATTAACTTTAAAATGTACATTTATTTTCCAGTGATAAAGAATTACTTTCAACACCGTGAATTTTCATTCACATTGAAAGATGATATTTACATTCGCTACCAGTCCTTCAACAACCAGAGTGATCTGGAAAAGGAGATGCAGAAAATGAATCCATACAAGATTGATATAGGCGCAGTATATTCCCACAGAGTAAGATCTCTTTTTTAAATGTATTTTATTGTTTTATTTTGTAAACCAAGAATGGGTTGGTTCCTCTAGCATTTTGAGATTAAATTTTTAGAGTTTATTCTAGATGAAAAGCCACTTTTTAATTGGCAAGTAGATTAATCCTTTTTTGTTCTTTGACATTTTACATTGCTGATAAAATCGTTTGAAAGTGAATTGGTTGCATTCTTACTAGGACAAAAAACTTGAGTATCTTGCTACTAGGAAGAAGTCGACATGATTTAAAAGAGGAGGCCAGGTGCAGTGGCTCACACCTGTAATCTCAGCACTTTGGAAGGCTGAGATGGGCAGATCACCTGAGGTCAGGAGTTCGAGACTAGCCTGGCCAACATGGTGAAATCCTATCTCTACCAAAAATACAAAAATTAGCTGGGTGTAATTGCGGGCGCCTGTAATCCCAGCTAGTCGGGAGGCTGAGGCAGGAGAATCGCTTGAACCCAGGAGGCGGAGGTTGCAGTGAGCTGAGATCATGTCACTACACTCCAGCCTGGACAACAAGAGCAAAACTGTCACAAAAAGAAAAAAAAGGGGAAGAGAATTAAATTCTCTCCCACCATGGAAGTTATTCTTTTTTTCTTTTAATTGTTTATCTTTACTTAGGTCAAATATGCATATAAAATTTACCGTCTTTACCATGTTTAAATGTACAGTTCATTCATAATAAATATTTATATTCTTTTTCCTTCATACCCCTGGAGTTATTCTTGACTCCTCTCTTTCTCACACTCCCATACCCATTCTGTTAGGAAATCCCTTTGGCAATACCATAGGTATATCTAAAATCCAGCCATTACTACCAGTGCTACCAACATTATCATCTCATCTGAATTACTATAAAAAACTCCTCAGAGTTTACCCTTGTAGAATCTAGAGTCCATTCTCAATACAGAAGCCAGAGTGATCCTTTTAAAACAACTCAGTTTCTGTAATTCCTCTACTCAAAACATTCTCTGGTGGCTGCTCATTTCACTGACCAAAAGTCACTCACTTCTCTCCCCCTCACTTACTTCATTCCTGCCACACTGACCCTTGCTCAAGCTGTTTCCACTGCCTAAAACCCGTTTCTACAGGTATCTACTTGGTTCATCTCCTCACCTCCTTCAAATCTTTTTTTTTTTTTGAGACGGAGTTTCGCTCTTGTTACCCAGGCTGGAGTGCAGTGGCGCAATCTCAGCTCACCGTTCTTCAACTTTACGGGAGTGAATACCCATCTGTCATTAACTAAAATGAGGAGTTAGTATTGGAAGTAGACAGTGGCTTACCAAATTGAGATTGGCGATCTTGTGGGAACTCTGTTTTCCTTTCACATCTGTGAGTTAAAATATACTAAAGTGAATTTTTTTTCAGAGCATGTGTACACTTTTTTTTATCATTGCTCTCCTCTAGATACTTACAGTTTAAGTTTCTGATGGCATAGCTGAAGTCATATTGTGGCTTTATTAGTTTTAGGAACTTGGATGTCTGTTTTAAACCTTAGCTATCATTTCAGTCATTCCGCCTCCTGGGTTCAGGCAATTCTCCTGCCTCAGCCTCCTGAGTAGCTGGGATTACAGGCACACACCACCATGCCCAGCTAATTTTTTATATTTTTAGTAGAGACGGGGTTTCACCATGTTGACCAGGATGGTCTCGATCTCTTGACCTCGTGATCCACCCGCCTCGGCCTTCCAAAGTGCTGGGATTACAGGCTTGAGCCACCGCGCCCGGCCACCTCCTTCAAATCTTTACTCAAATAGCACCTTCTAAGTGAGGTCTACTACAACCTACCACTCTCCTACCCCCTGCCACTGATATATACTAAGTGCCTAGAAGAGTGCCTAGCAAGAGAGAATACACCATAAATATATGTTGAGTGAATGAACAAACCAAAATTGCCCCTCTCCCCCTTCTCAAATATACACGCTGGTGAGTGGAGGGAATATATATATAGCATAATAGCTTTTATGTGGAGTTTTTCATGTTACATAACTTGTTCCTTATATCAATCCTCATTCTTTTTTGCAAAGGAGAAAACAGGCCCAGAGAACTTGAATAGTTTGCCCAAGCTCACACACAATTTCTAAATGATAGAGCTGGGACTTAAACCCAAATACTTTTGCTAACTAATATTGCTACATCAAGCTTTTTAAATTAGAATTTGCCTGGCATGGCTTTAGGTCTGACTCTCAATTCCAGACCTGTCTCCCATCATCAAAGTAAGGGGAGATGAGGTAATAAAAGGCAGGCAGAAAATACTTTGGAGTTGTTTACTTCCTCTTTATAGGTTGAGAATTTTAAAAAACTTCTAAGAATCCAAGTCACAGCACCAAAAAAGAAAAAGAAAATTTTTTTTTTTTTTTTTGAGACGGAATTTCGCGCTTGTTACCCAGGCTGGAGTGCAATAGCACAATCTCGGCTCACCACAACTCCGCCTCCTGGGTTCAAGCAATTCTCCTGCCTCAGCCTCCTGAGTAGCTGGGACTACAGGCACGCACCACCATGCCCAGCTAATTTTTTTTTTGTATTTTTAGTAGAGACAGGGTTTCACCTTGTTGACCAGGCTGGTCTTGATCTCTTGGCCTCCACCCACCTCGGCCTCCCAAAGTGCTGGGATTACAGGCGTGAGCCATCGCACCCAGCCGGGGAAAAAAATTTTTTTTTAATAATTTTTTTTTAAGCCGGGCGCGGTGGCTCAAGCCTGTAATCCCAGCACTTTGGGAGGCTGAGGCGGGTGGATCACGAGGTCAAGAGATCGAGACCATCCCGGTCAACATAGTGAAACCCCGTCTCTACTAAAGATACAAAAAATTAGCTGGGCATGGTGGCACGTGCCTGTAATCCCAGCTACTCAGGAGGCTGAGGCAGGAGAATTGCCTGAACCCAGGAGGCGGAGGTTGCGGTGAGCCGAGATCGCGCCATTGCACTCCAGCCTGGGTAACAAGAGCGAAAACTCCGTCTCAAAAAAAAAAAAAAGAGAGAGAGAGAGAGAGAGACAGACCATCATATCTGGCTGAGATTTCTTTACCACTGTGATCTGGCTGGGCCGTGTTATCACTGATGTCCGTTTTTCTAGATCTTTGCTAGAATGAAAACTCCACTAGAGCAGAGATCTTTGTTTCGAACACGGATCTATCCCTGGATCCTAGAACAGTGCCTGGCATATCTAATCAGCTTTTTTTTTTTTTTTTTTTTTGTGAGATGGAGTCTTGCTCACCCACGCTGGAGTGCAGTGGTGCCATGTTGGCTCACTGCAACCTCTGCCTCCTGGGTTTAAACAATCCTGCTTCAGCTTCCCGAGTAGCTGGGATTACAGGTGCTCACTACCATGCCCAGCTAATTTTTGTATTTGTAGTAGAGACAGCGTTTCACCATTTTGGCCAGCCTGGTTTTGAACTCCTGACCTCAGGTGATCCACCTGCCTCGGTCTCCCAAAGTGCTAGGATTACAGGCATGAGCCACTGTGCCCAACCCTTATCAGACTTTTCTTTGTTTAGACAGAGTCTCATTCTGTCGCCCAGGCTGGAGTGCAGTGGTGCAGTCTTGGCTTAGTGCAATCTCCGCCTCCTGGGTTTAAGTGATTCTCCATGTTCCACCTTCCATGCAGCTGGGACTACA